AAAAAAAAAAAAAAAAAAATAAGAAAAGTGCCCATGACCAACGGAAGGAATCACAAGCAAGATTTGCTTCGATGTAAGTTACAGGGGCGTCCAGAATCGTAATAGTCATGATGAAGATACACAACAGGAGGAGAGAAATCGGATTCTAATCTGCCATGCATATCCCGTATTTTTTTGAATCTAACTGATGAAATGCATATCTCCGGTGCTCAGAAACTTATCTGAGTTGGCTGAGAACAAACAATGTACTTCCTCATTAAATTAATAATAGTAACTGTAAACAAACAAGATGAAATAGTAATGCGGGTAAGAGTAGTGGCGGTGGTCATGGTACACTCATAGCAGCAATAGTATTCACAAAAACTTCATAAAACTACATTGGGGGCAAGAGGTCAGAGTCCAGCGCCTCTAGTGGATCCAACATGCCCTTTCGGGTCACGATGATCTGCTTGGGCTGCTCCTCCACCGGCAATGATCGGATCAATGCCGCGACCTGAAACAGCAGGATGTAAATCAGGAACCTTCAGCAGTATCAATTGTAATCATAATACGTATAACAATCATAACTGCATTTGTAGTATTCCTTCCTTGCATGAAGAGATGGGAAGGCCCGGCCGGGGCCTAGCGATCCGCAACATGCTACTTTCAGGGAATCGCCCAGGGTTCTGTCCCACAGTAGCAGACCCTAAACCCTAAATCCTAAACAGGGGCCTCCTCAGCCGTCTTCCACTTGGCCAGCTGCGACAGTCGCTTCTGTCCAGCCCACACAGAGGTGTGGATGATCTTCAAGAACAGCTGTCCTGGTACAGCAATAGTAGGGTTTAGGGTTTAGGGCGCTGTCCTGGTGCAACAGTACTTTGATTGCTATTCTTACCATTACAACTCTTATTTCTATTATTACTTTTCTTGCTATCATTACTACTACAGGAGTAGTGAGTAGTGTTTGCGTTTTGCCCACCGACACCTGGACCACGCCTACAATAAACAAACTCCGAGCATTGGCTGAGGGCCCCTGTCGTGATACAAGTGATTCTCAAAGTAAACTGGTGGCTGGTAAGGAAAAAGGAATATACTCCCTACATAACCCCAAATACCATATTCCCTTACTGCCCACTAACCCCCAGTGAGAAAACACTTGCAGTCCTGTTCGCGGGTTGAAGATGAAGATGGCTCCGTTCACTGGCTTCGTGGTCAAGTTACCCTCGAACGTCTTGTGGATCGTCACCCGGTAGACATTCGTGTCATCCACGAACCAAATGATCTGGGAGCTGAACAGTTCTCCGTAGTTCTGGGAGTTCAGGTAAGGCTCAGTAGGCTCACTGCTGTACAGCTGCAAACCCTTGCGGATGCGCTCCCGCAGCACATACAATGCAGGGTTCGCCTTCATGATCTTGTTCATGGACCTGTGCAACAGAGGCTTAACGCCTGGGAACCAGTTGCCGAAGCCGCTGTGCAAGTTGTAGGCCAGATCCACACCCATGAGCACACCTGTCGGCGACGGGTAGATGGACATGTTGTCAGTGGTGTAGTCCAGGAACTTGGCACGGCAATAGCGCTCGATGTCGTGGGAGTCGTAGTCACCCCATCGGAGCTGCACATCGATCCAGTACTTCGTGGTGGTCGTGCCATCGAAGCCATCCTTGGACTCCGTGAGAAGGGATGGCTTGGAGACAGCCCACTTGTAGGAGGCAAAGAGGAGCACGTCCGCGCATGAACTGTTCATCTTGTAGGACTTGCGCGGGTGAATCGTCTCCTTCTGCACCATCTCAATCTCCAGGGCATCCAACTCAAGATCGAAGACCTGGCACAAGTCCATGACAATACTCTCGTGGATCTTCTGCCACAAGTGTGCGCGGAAGATCTGAATGAGAGAGATCTTGAGGGTCGGAATCTTCCCGTGCATGAAGATGCCCGTGAGGTCCAACTGCACCTGGAAGCCCACGTAGACGTTGGCTCGGTTGATGGTAGGAGACCACCACAGTGTGAAGCGTCGGTTGGGAATCTGATTGAGACCACTTCGCTGGGCGTTTGTGAGCTTCTTGAAGCGCATGGACTCCTCGAAACCACTGGCCTTCTCCCAGAAGAGACCTTCCCAGGTAGGGAAGTAGGTGCCTTTGAAGAGGGTGTGCTCCAGAATGCCCTCAACACCTCCCAGAGCCTGGATCATGTCTGTTCTGTAGTTGTTCAGGTTCCACAGCTTTCCATCATGGCGCTGGTGCGTCCACCAGAATGGGTTCTGGCGCATGATGTTGTACTGCTTGAAGTCCTGGCGCACTCGCCAGCCCTTGTCGAAGGCCAAGGTGTGGCGGTCCTGGCAATAGAGACCCAGTAATCAACAGGGGATGACATGGGATTGTCCAAAAATGAAGGATATCTTTTGGGGGTCTGCATCACGAGGATTACATTCTGCAGGGTCTATGTTGGGTCCCCTCACTTATGAAAACTACCACATGTGTGTGCATCCAACATGCAGTGGAGACTAGCTGAAGGGAACCGCCTGGATCCTGCTGGAACAGCTCCTTATATCCCCCTTAAGAACCCCTCATAAAACTCCCCTATCTAATCCCCTGTATAGCCCCCTTTAAGGAGTTTAGACCCTAAACCCTATATAATCCCGATATAATCCGTATATAAGCCCCATATAACCCCTATATAGAGCCCTTTAAGGACATCACTTGGGTCCTTCTGGAACAGCGTGTTGATTCGGGGGATACCGCGATCCCAGGCATCCTCCAAATCCTGCGAGCACAGCCCATCTGCCGAGCATGACTAAACTAAACACAGGGTTTAGGGTTTAGGCTTCTGGGGCATATATTCGTCTCATATAGGGAAAATGGAAAAGAGAATGGCAACTACTATATTATGATAGGCCATATGTTGGGGTTAGTAGGGAATATGGGACTGAATGATATGTGGATTATATTCCCTCGTCCCCTACTAACAACCAGCAACAAGAAGTGCAGCATGGTATGCCATGTACACAAGGAACATTCTGAGAGCAAGGGAAGGTAACAAGTAGAAGAAGAATGAAGGCAAACCGTGACGGGACCCTCCGCAACTGCCGACTGCAGAGAAAAAAGATCAATACGGCTATAAGGCACACAACATCCGCATGGTTACTACTCCTATTCCCACCATTGCTTCCCTCGCTCATGCTTCTAGTCACTGTTTTCGGTCCTCCAGTGTCAGGCGGCGATTCTGGGCCGTGGCCTCCCAGGGTGGCTATTTATGTGTCATGCTTTTAAGGAAACTACTCGAGCTAAGACCTTAGCAAGGGGAGCCTTAGGGTAGGTGCTGTAGGGGGAGGGGTCTCGGGAACCCACAATGCTTAAGGGGGATGAAGAGTCTGCCGCAAGAACATGCTGTCGTGAAAAGGGTCCCTTACCTACCCCATAGAACCCCTGTGAAGAGCAACCCTAAGGCCGCTAAGGCACCCTCGCGGCATACCGCTGCAATCCCTGTAGAACTTCGAATCTACAGACATTTCTAAAAACAATCCGCATCAAATCCTTAGTAGAGACCCTACAACACCCTGAAATCTACATGAACACCTATCCCACCCTTAACCCCTAAGCCCTAAAACCCCTCGAAGTCTGCAAGCCTCCTGGCGCTTCAGGGCGTACTCAGCCCAGACGCGCTGCGAGTCGATGAACTCGGCCTCCCAGGTCTGCACCTTGGCTTTTGTATTTTATTTGGGGATACTAGGGGCATCTATGGTTTAGGGTTTTGGGTTTTGGGTTTAAGGCATTTTATTTGGGGA